TGGGCTGGTCACAATCCTGTGAAAGCCCTGGGAGAAGCTGGGTCGGGGTGCTTACTTCTCTATTAGGTTATTCAGTTCCCCTGACTTTCATTGTTCCTCTGAGCTCCTTTGAGCATATGGAGAGGACTCTTATCAGGAGCCTTTTAGCACTCAACTGAGCCAATATATTTATGCATGGGGTTCTACCACCTGGAGACAGAATACAGTTGAACATTTGGGAAGCCTTAAACACACTAGAACTTCTTCCAAAATTAAGCAGCTATTGTGGTGAAGTAAAATCAATGGCCAGTGACATATACAACTGTCACAACTATTCTGTTTTTCAAAAATTAGTTGATGAAATAAGTAAAAAAACCCCAAAAACAGTCAAAAAATCCAACTTGTTCATAAACTACCCAATACAAAGATTGACATTATTTTTTAACAAAAACTATCTTTTTTAACATTTAGCTATGACTTAACACAAAAAACCAAGCTGCAGGTTATGAAATATGTCTCCTAATATAAGAGAACATATAAAAATCCAATCTATATGAAACAAAGGAGTTTGAATTTTTTCTTGGATAAATCTATATTTTGAAATGATTCTGCAATCAATGATCTTGTATTACTTCTCTACTCGTACGCAATTAATTTAAGAAAAGCTCTTTGGAGCCAATGGGCTATGTGTTTAGTAAGTTCCACGAAGCATAATGTTAATTAAGTACTTGCTATGTCAGAGCAAAATGCTGATACTATCAGAATATCAAAGTTGTTCTCTGAAAGAAGGAATTCTCACACCCCAACCAGGAGTTATGTGCCATCTGTGAAAGAGAGAAATGACAGCCAAATGGTCTAGGATAAGGAAATACACAGCTTTTTGTAACACAGATTTTTACTTTATGAATGACTGTGTATTTTTGTCTTTACCGGCCCTTTTCTCTCGTTAAAGCTCTAGCGAAACTGCCAGTACTAGCATGTTTTGGTACTTAATCTACTGATGTCAGAAGACACAGACATCAGGAAATTAAAAGAAAAAAAGAAGTTTCACCTTTCTATATGAAATCAAATTAAATTACAACTTTTCTAGTGATACAATATAATAATGTGTATTCTTCTGCAGCTTAAGAGGTTCATTCTGCAGCACCCACTATTGAGTCTAGAACTTGGATCCAACTGCTACTGCCATCAAACTGGCTACTTTTGATGATGGCACAGTGTGACTTCTAGTGTTTATCTATGTTTTCCTGCTTACTTTTTTTCATAGACATTAAAAAGCAAGCTTATATCTTCTGACGTTTCACTGAAGGATATTTTTTAAGTTCCAGATACTCTACACTACAAGAATGCCATTCTTTTTCCTTGAAGGTTTAATTACCTTTGAATATAAACAGCGTTAGCTGCAGCATGAATAGTTCCTACTGTCCTACTAGCCTCTGAGCAGCGAGGGCTAGCCTGCAGTTTGGGAGCAGAATCAACACAGGACTATGGTACATGCCTGGGAATGTGGGTGTTCTGGCATAGGGAATGCACACGAATCTACTCTGTAAGAAAATTAATCAAACAGAGCTGCTGAGACTGACCAAAAGGATAGTCCCGTCTATTCCCCATTTATAAACAAGCTGCACATCCAAACAAGTCTCCTTCACCTTCTGCATGTCTACAACAGGATATTCCTCCGGGAAAGCCCTGGGCCTTCCAAGCATGCAGCAAAGACTTTGGCATGCAGGTAAGTGCCAGGAAAGAACTTGGAAGAAAATGTTTGCCAGGATTTTAATAACTCATGTGAATCACAAGTAGCTGAAGTAAAAAGGCAGTTTTACTTTTTCCCCCCCTTGAAGTAAATTAACACTAATTTAAACCTCTCTTTGTATATACTAAACTGTGTATAATAAATTAAAAGATAAATGTTTTATTTTCTCTGAAAATTCCTTTTGAGGAAAGTATAGTTTTCCTCTACTTCAAAGGCAAGTCAATTTAAGCAATCAGTACATTATTTTCAGCAGCCCAAGATGACAACCAGTTAATAGAAAAGATAGGGGGAAAAATGAAATAAGAATGTCTGACCTCGCTACCTTTTTCTTCCATGTTCCCTTTTGCCAAGGAGGCACTTTCAATGCAAAGAAGTTCTACCAAATTGGTTCTACCAATAATTATTCTCTCTCTATCTTGCACTTCTGGAAGATAGTTAGAAAGGTTGTCCAGCCATTCTGCAGGCTGGAGAGCTTGTTGTAAAACAAATACAGTCACTTACATGCAGAACACATAATTCCTTTGGAACATATTTAATGAGTTCTGCAAAATGAATTCTGCTTGTGTTTATAGGTGTAGACATTTATAACTCAGTCAAAGTAAAACCAATATTCCACATAAAATTCATCTCAGCGCCCTAGTAAGAGCCATTTCATTAACAAGTTATCACTTGCTCTCACCTGTCTTGACTGCAGCCCATCAGGCATTCTTAAATTCTATGCTTCACTAACTTTTACAATCAGAAAGGTTAACCTAAAATGTTAACTTAAATGTTAAGTGATAAATTTTAATTACACATATACATATATTTTCAAAGAAATAACATTTCTGCGTGTCTTTGAGAAAAAGGAAAAATCCATTACTTCACCCAGCATGTAGCTCAAAAATTATGCTCTCCAAACTAAATCCTCAAAAACTTTTGCAGAGCCAAAAACATTGGAAAATATAATCTCAATGAAAACTTTCATGCAATCTTGTTTCCTTTTGTAAAGCTAAAATAACAAATTTACAAATGTCTTCTGTTCGCAAAGCAATTTTCCCTCATGTTTCCCACGCACTTTTTTTTTCGTACTGTAAAAATCATGTCTGGAAAACTCTGGACAGACATGCTCATTCCTACCAAAATTAGTGTGTCCAAATACTAGAGCTGTATCAGATTAATTCAGCCTAATGATTCCTTTTTATGTGTTAAACCCAACAACAATAACAACAAAAATATTTTCAATTGCTTACAAGAATTTCTTTACTTCTGAGTCATGAAGAAGTCTGAAGTCGCACTAAGTCTTGCAAAACCATGCTGTCTTCCATTTATCAGAAGTATTCTGCATAAAAATTATTTGCTCTCTTAATACTGCATATAAAGATGGTTTGAATACTTTGACTTTTCTCTTCCCCTCTCTACAGCTTGTCCTTCTTTTCTTAATTATTTACAGTAAGGTTTAGAAAATTTAAAAAAAATTAGTATAAGGAAAAAATGATTTGCATTCAGACTGCGAAATCTAACTCAAATGCCTGAGAAACACTTGGAAGAAAAATTACCTTGACTGATTTTCCCACTCAATTCTCTTCAGTCAGAGGTGAGACATATTTTAGACACCACCTAAAAATTCTAAGAAACATTACAAAAACTAAAGACAACACTGGATATTCCCTATATTTTTCAACTAAAATCTGAAACCTGAAGTTCAAGTTTCTATCATATATAATTATGAGTCAACAAATCAGCCAAGGGCCTTTTTTTTCCTTATGGACAACCCTGTACTAAAGCAAAGCTTTCTACATAGTTATCATCAGACTTTCCTCCCCTACTGCATAATTTTTCTTTGACTTTTGACCACAACAAAAATACTTACCTCTGAGATGCAAATCAGGTTAGGATTGAAAACCTAGGACCATGCAGCACAGTCACAATGAAGGTGCTGACTCCCCTGACTCTGAATTGAGAGCTGAAAATCAGCTCATGGGAATCTTTACTGCTTCATCTCCACAGGCAAAATTTTAAATTTTACTGTCCTATTTTAATCCAAGCAATTCAACTACGTGATCTGTGAAGCTGTATCACACGGTGCTTTCTCAGGTCTTTTATCTCTACAAACTTACAGGAGTGAGTACAGAATTCAAAAAATGTCAGTTCCTACAGGCATCACTGAGTTGCTTCATATTTGCAGAGAGAATTGACTTTTTCTCCCCCTTTTCTATCTCAGTTCCTTTACCAGTTACACAAGGAATTACACAGTACTTTGCAAGATAATTTTAAAGTCAATTTTAATTAATAGAATTTCAGAGATATAAGAATTTGTATTGCAATCTTACACCAATTATTTAGTTTCTGAACTCCTCCCCCACTCCTCTCCCCTCCTATTAAGAGAAGGGATGCTTTAACAAGCTTTCCTCTTTTTATTAGACCTCACACTATTCTCTTTTCCTATCCTCTAGGTCTTTCCTTGTCTCCCTTTGATTCCTCCTCTCCTTTTTCAGAGGCTTTTAGAAATGCAAGAGATGAACATTCATCACAAAGCAGTACAGTTCATTGAGCACATGTAGCTGCAAGGATATTTCTCGGAACAAACAAGAGGACTGTTTACAATACCTCTGCCCTTCTCTAAGTCTCTTCCATAGCTCTCATCTTATCTCCTGCTCTCATCGCCCTCCCTCCTACCATCCATTCTTTCTTCTAGCATTTTCTTGGCCTCCCTTTTCTGCCCACCTTTTTTTCCCTATTCTGCCTTCACTGCTCTCTCCCTCCTCTCCTCTACTGGCTGAATGTGAACTGCCTCTTCTTGTTAATGCAAAGCATTCTCTCCACATCTATTATTTGAGGCAAGTTGTTCAAATGTGAGAAAAAGACTCTCAATTTCAACTCACTGTATGCTGCCTTGTAGAACAGCCTAAACATTCAGAGATTGTTTCACAAAACAAACACAGTGCACGAATAGGAACACAAGAATAAAATACATGCAAAGCATAAACAAGGAGCTTATTTCCTGACCAAAAAAAAAAAAATTATTCTTTGAGGCAGTCATTTCTGAGACAGCTAATAGTAACGTTCATTAATGGTCTTTCATAAGAGAGCTTGCCTCTCCCACTAGAAACAATACTAAAACTTTTACATCTTCAGAGATTGTAATCAACCATCAAACAGAAAGACAAGTCCTCTGTGCTCATCTGGACTACGAGAAGTATACTGGAGGGCACACCTTTTTTTTTTTTTTTTTTTAAATCTTTACAGAAAACTTCATTAGGTTGTTGCAATATATATCTGTTCTTACCTTCTAGTGAGGTGACTAGATGAAAGAAGCAGACCATCCAGATCCAACCCATTCCCGTCACTCTCCTTGCACTGATGCCACCATTAGAATCCATGAAGATTCTCTGTGAATACCACCATCTTTAACAAACACACACCAGTCCCTTGACACGGTCAGAGATTTCTTGGAGGGTTTTAATATCTTCACAAATCAAAACACAGAGGTCTTCACACAGAAATACTGTTTAAGGAAAAACAGAAGATGGAAACAGAAATCAGACCACAATAATACAAAACTGGCAGTTTTTATACACCCATTCCATCACTTATTACTTCTGAGGTACAAGTGAGACAGAGAAGCACAGACTCAGCATTTACCATAGACCTGGCTCTTAAGACTTCAGTCAGTCACAGGTGTTTTGTACACTGCCCGTACAGATTTTGAGACATTCATGGCATCAGTGAGAGTGGGTTCTCTCACTCTCAATCTGTCAATCTGTACCACAGTACGGGATGTACCCCTGTTGAAGTCCTGGCCCTTTGTATCTCTGGCAACGTCTCTTAGGTGTCCTTTCCACTTCCGCTGTATGTTTTTTAAATTCTGTCTCATTTTGCCTGTTCAGGACTCTGCAGGGCAGTAGCTATGACAGGAGAGTTTTTGCCAACACAAATCTGCATGGCTGACACACTTGTAACTGTGTATCAGATGCAGGCATTTGTCCCTTTAAGCATACGACTGCACAACGTTAGTGAAGGTGGACAGTATTTTCCCCACTGATATGCTGTACGTGAGGAAGCAAACGTTGTGATATTTAAGGTCAAATAGGGAGACTGCATTACAGGCAGAAAAAGCAGAAAAAGTCTAAGTTTATCATCTTAAGTGGGAAAAAAATCCAAACAAAACTCTACCACCACCATTAAGAATCTGACACACAGGCTTATCTCACAGAAAAGGAGCAGCATGTAGCCTAATCCAGCATTGCATGAGATCAATCCAGCACAATAATTTTGCTAAGCAAGGTAATTTTGGCTCCATCTGCCCAATTCTCAGCCCACCAGAGAAATATCACAATAATATGTAGGTTGCATGCAAAAAGCTAGTATGTTTTGTTTCTTCAAGTGCTCTTTGCGCAGAGCATTGAAAATACTTCAATGTCTTCAGTGAGACAGTGAAGCGTAGCTAAGGAGAAAGAAAAAATGTCTCAGGCAATATGTAGAAATGGCTCAATAACTTGGCTGAAACAGCAGAGGGAAGAGTTGTAATTAAAAGGGGCAGCCTCAGTGCAATTATCTGAAAACCTTGCTATGGAGGATTTGAGTAAGTTGGGCATAGTAGAGAAAAAAGCAGCCTGAGGAGCATGCAAAAAGGCAGTGGAGTGCAATTTGATTTTCTTTATTGGAGAAGGGGAGAAATTACTGAACAAGATGGAATAGTTCTCTCTTACACTGCCCCCAGTTAGAACCTAGAACACCAAACACAGTTGAACCAAAGGCACTCTGGGCATCACTAAAATGCAAGGATACTAAAGGAACCTCAGCAAGAGACAAAAACTTTGATTCATGACTTATAATAAAAGAGAAAAATAAAATCAGTTCAGTATATAACAGAGGAAAAATGAAGATGGTATAATATACAGGTACTGCATATTAGTTAATGTATGTATCACGATGTATCACAGAAGAAAAACACCACTGGATGTAACTGTAAAAAGGAGAACATTTCAGACTGAATGATCAGAAAGCCCTTCTTTGCAGACAGAACTATCCAAGCACATAGCAGTGTCCACCTGGAACAGGGCTGAAGACTGCTGCCTGAGCCACAAAAATCAAGACTGGGTACACCAGAACCAAGCCTGCACGACTATTCTATATGGAGACATAAATACTCATCGTTTATACTGCCAGTCAATCTGTAACATTATAATATCTAAAAGCTTTTTTATTAGGCCAGTAAAATCCTGAGAGATGGGGACTTCTAAACATTCATTTTGAAGGTAAATAAATGCAGAAACAGAGGTCAAATAAACTGAACACAACTTTCATTTCAGTCAATGGGACTGCATTCATTTACAGAAGGTTTGAAAACAGCTTACAGCCTGGATTTTCTCATGCCACGTAACTAATGAGTGGCAGAGCAGAAGACAGAACCCAGATACACTCTGGAGGCTGAATCTCAGGCAAAAGTATTGAAATTACCACAGATATAACTAAAAAAAAAAAAATCCCTTGTACAGAAAAGCTTCAAGGAAATCCATTTTTCTGCTTCCCTCCTGACCTGCAAATCTCTCTTACAACATCTGTTTGGCTTACTCTGGTCAACCCTCTATGCTAACAAAGTCGCATGGCTCTTAATGAGGAATCATACAGACTTTGTTCAGATTAGATTGGAAATTATTTTTTCCTGAAATAAACTGTGACTAAATCAAAAAGCTGGTTATGATTAAGTAGTTAAAAACAGGTAAATTTGCCTTTTTTATTTTTTAAATTTTTTAAATTTTATTCTGCCTCTTCCGCACCTCAATGAAAAGTGCTTACTCCACAACGAAAGAGAGAGACAACATTATGGAAGCATTTAAGGGAGAGTAGGAGGGAAGCACTAGCCTCTCTGAATTAAAGAGTACCAAGCCCCTAAATTGCTAACCACTGCCCTGCCCTTCCCCCTAGCACTTGATGTGTATAGAATCTGACTACACCCAAAGACGCTCATCTTTCATTCTTCAGTTCTCCTACTATTTCTTCCCTATACCAAACTACGTAAACAGAAACCTCAAACCATCCCAACTTTTAAATCACTCTCTTCTCTTGTCCACACAAGCACCTTTTCACGGCTCCTCATCTAGCTACTTCTTCCAAAACTGCTTCCAGAGAGATTACTTCTTGCTATGGAATCCACTATTCCCTCTTCTCCTCCAAATCCACCTGCAAAGTAATACACCTTGTCACAACAGGATTCTTCAAAAAAATTCCTTAAATACCCCCTTATCATCCTGTCTCTCTTCCAACTACATGAACTTGTTGGTAATGTACCATCTGTCAATCCTCTTACGCCAACTCTTCCATAAAGGATTCTAAACCCCTTTTAGGCATGTATTTCCTTAGGTAGCGGAATTATCTCATTCTCCTTGGAAGTCCTGAAAATTCTAAAGCATCTGAGAAGTATGACAGTTCCTAAGAATCCCACTATCTTTTAATGATTCAATCCTATAAAACTGTGAAGATCCCAAGCAGTCAGAACAGATGAGTAACTTTTGCTTTAGTATCAAGATCCAAGAGATGGAGGATGGAAGTCTCCAGGTTATCTGCTTACATTATTCACCAATGCTATCATGGCTGTTTACTTTGGCACCATCTCTGTGCCACTGTACCTGGATTACCAAAATTTATGTTCAAGATACCAATAAGAGAGATGAATACAATCCTCACCAGTATTTTCAAGAATCTCGGTTTCTTAGCAGAACAACCAGAGAGGAGAAGAGTTCTTTGGGAAGCTTGTCAAGATGAGTTTTGAACATTGCCAAGGATGGAGATTCCTCAGCTTCTTTGGACATCTATACCAGCACTGATGTGATTTTTTTTTAAAATTATTTTTTCATGAGGGATTTTTTTCTTTCTTCTATACAGTCAGAGTCTCTCTTGCTCTATTCCATTGTTTATTTCAACAGAAGAGGGACAGCTCTTGCCCAGCATCTTGCCCAGCTTCTTATACCCAAGACTGCAAACACAAACAATTTCAGCTGGAAAGTCTCAAATGTGAAACATAATACGCCTGGCTTAACTGGCACTGTTTAAGGTCTATTTCTTCTCACCAGACAAAACCAGTGCTGTAATTTCTCGCTTTTTCTGAACTCAGTCTTGAAGTGGGAACACTTTAGTACAATTCCAGGCAAATGATGCTCAGTGCTACAGAACAGATAGCAATAGCGCTCCCATATGTACTAAATCAACGATGTTATTACAGTTCTGAGCTTGTGGGATTTCTCTCTCAAAGGGGGCTGCTGTGTGCCCATGCTGTATCGAAACTGTGGCAAAGTATTTAATGCAGTGAGTATCTCTGAGGCACTTTCCTTATGCAAATAAAGGATTCCCTCAGAGTTTAAGCACCTGAAGAGCCATGGGCACTAGTGTTGCTTAACAGGTCAGCATTAATTCAAAATTCTCTTCTATCAGTACATGTGCTTTTATTGGAAAGGAAGCACATTTGCTCCTAGGTTTATCTAGTCATTTATTTTAGAGTACCCCAATGAGTACTCAATGTCTTGAGTCTTGATGGAGGTGGTCATACACCTGACAAACCTAAGATGGGCCTCCTTAAAATGGACTGATTCTATTTCTTCTGGATTTGCATGGCACTCTGAGACTGACCGAAATAGTGACAACATTATAAACTGTGTTAATTCTGTTCTGCTGGACCTAAGCTTTAAAGAAAATACCTTGTTTTCTAATATTTTTGATTCTATCCATAAATCTTTAGATAGACCTTCATTGAAGCATGTTCTAGCTTAGTATGCAGACAATATGTAGTCACAGATGAGAAAGTAATGCACATTTGACCCTATTCCCCTCTGACAGATACACACTGCAGAACCTGACATCAAATAGCATTAAACACGCATCTGAACCATGTACCTGGTCTGGCTTCTGCAGGAGGAATTCAGGTATACCTTTAGAATTAAGAAAAAAGCTAGGATTGTTCAGGCACTGCACAAGCCTCCTGAGAAAATACAAGGGCCTGATAGATTCTTCTTCTCCGTTAATGAAATGTAGCTGTTTCTTTAAGCTCTGTGAAACTGGAGCAAACCAGAGGCATCAGGAAGAACTATCAGTCTTGTAGTCCTAATCTCTACAGAAGACCTATGGGTAGTTCTGATATTCTATTCCTTAAAAGCTGATAGGAGATTGATCCACTGCAGAGAGGATGCTCCATCCTGCACTACTTTGTAAAAATCTCAACTCTAATACTCGTTCAAATTCTTTATTCCCAGGAAGCATGGAGGCAAATGGAAACAATGGACATGAACAGCAAAATGTAAAAACTGTCAGTTCTTAATCAAGAGTTCCTGACAGCCTTCCTTATTGGAAGAACACTTGTATTTTTGAATGTGCAGTCAAGAGAATAACAATTCTGCATGCTTTAGTGCAAACTACATTTCAAACACAAGATTACACTGAAGCAGACCACTGTCCACCTAGCCCAAGTTTTCTCTGTGCCACCAGCGCCAGGGAGAGCTACATGGAGATGGC